AAAAAAAAAAAAACAATTGAAAAAGTTTTCTTCCTTCTTAGTACTCCAGGCTTAAAAGCTTTATGGTTAATTCTACTAAGCAGGGGTCCTCAAACTTTTTAAATAGGGGGCCAATTCACTGTCTCTCAGACCATTGGAGGGTGGGACTGCAGGCCCTGGGACGAGTTGGCTGCCAAGCAGAAAAGGCAGCGGCCACAAAAGCACCTGGCAGGCCAGATAAATGTCCTAGGCGGGTCATAGTTTGAGGATGCCTATTTTAAGGCTTATGTTACTGGTTATGTTATTTAAATTGTTCTGAAACTTTAGAAAAGGTAGAAAACTTTCCAGCTCATACTACTAGGGTAAGAGTAATAATGCCAGCATTGGATAAAGAACTTGTGTGTGTGCATGGACTAATTTCATTTAGAAACAGTGATTTTTATAAGTGCTTTAAAAAGACAGTAAATTAAGTCCAGCAATGAATGTGTTATTAAAAAAAGAGTATCTCTCTGGTGTGGGCTGGTGTTAATGGGGAAGGCTGTGAGTGTGGTGACAACAGGTGTATGAGGATTCTACTTTCCCCTCAGTTTTACTGTGAACCTAAAATTGCTCTGAAAAAAGTAAGTTTATTAATTAACAATACTTTGTGATCAGGTAGAGTTCTCCTCAAAAATGTCACAATGGTTTAATCATTCTAATGTCTAGAAATCTAGCCGCATAATTTACTATGCTAACAAGTTAAGGAGAAAAATGAATACTTAAAATTATAGCAACAGACGCTAAAGGCACTTTTGTTATTTCAGTACCAATTTCTCATGTTAAAACAAACATAAAGGCATAAAAACCAACAAACAAACAACCCTTAAAATAGAACTAGTTCTTGGTAAAAGTAGCAGAAGTAGACAAATGTAGCAGACTTCACGGAGAGCATCCAGCGTGTTGTGGTCAGTGCGTTTACAAAGCGGTGGAAATGGCTAATGTGACAAAGAGCTCAGCAGGCATCAGTTAGGAGAACCATGTGGAAATATGAAAGCATCAACACCCATTATCTAAAGACAACCTGCCCATGGGAAATGAAAAACAGTGACCTGAAAAAAATTCAACTTTCAACTAACAAAGAAAGGCTACCTCAGAATCACAAACAAAGATAATTAGTGGCTTTGTATAAAAGCAGGATTGGCTAACTTTTTCCGTCAAGGGCCAGATAGTAAATATTTCAGGCTTTGTGGGCCCCATACCTTCTTGTCTCTTTTTCTCTCTTGTCCTTCGTAGTTCTTTCTTCATTCCCCTTTCACTTCCCTCTCCTCTCTCTTTTGTTGTTGCTGTTGTTGTTTGAATAGCCCGTGAAAAATATGAACCATTTTTAGCTGCTGACCCTATAAAATAGGCCATGAACTGGATTTGGGCCATGAACATTACTTTGCAGACTCCTGATGCAGAACATAAGTAACCAATTAGGGGGAAACTAGCTTTAGTTTTTGTTTTTGTGGTTTTTTTTTTTTTTTTAATTTGAGACAGAGTCCAAGTCTCAAGCTGTCAGAGTGCTGTGGCATCACAGCTCACAGCAACCTCAAACTCTTGGGCTTAAGCGATTCTCTTGCTTTAGCCTCATGAGTAGCTGGGACTACAGGCGCCCACCACAACGCCCAGCTATTTTTGTTGCCGTCACCATTGCTGTTTTAGCTGGCTAGGGCCGGGTTTGAACCCGCCACCCTCGGTATATGAGGCCGGCACCCTACCCACTGAGCCACAGGCGCCACCGAGGAAACTCCCTCTAAAACAAAAAATAAAGTAGCCAAGGGAGACTTGGATGAGAAATGTGTAGAGTTTATGTGAAGAAAGTTGTATATTTATATTGAGTATCATAAAAAATCTGAGTAAACACCATGAATAAATTCAGATATATCTGAATAAATTTCATATGTGTTATGTTCTTAAATGGAGCTCCCCCATGTTGCAGCATAAAATTATCTGCAGTTGCTTTCAGTTATCAACTGTCAAAAGTAAACTGTCCTCAAAATAATCCAAAAATTGAGTGCAATTCTAATTCAAATCACGGCAGAATTTTTTATGTGATCCATTTATTTATAAAAATTATTTGCAAGAGAACAGTAGCTAAGAAAAGTTTGAAAAAACTTTGAAGGAGTCTTCTATAAAATGCAGCTGTTCATAAGACAATATAGTATTGGCACAAGAATAGGCAAATCAGGCTTGGCGCCTGTGGCTCAAGTGGCTAAGGCGCCAGCCACATACACCTAAGGTGGCGGGTTTGAATCCAGCCCAGGCCCACCAAACAATGATGGCTGCGACCAAAAAATAGCCGGGCGTTGTGGCGGGCGCCTGTGATCCCAGCTACTTGGGAGACGGAGGCAGGAGATTCGCTTGAGCCCAGGAATTGGAGGTTGCTGTGAGCTTTGATGCCACCAGCTCTCTACCCAGGGGGACAGCTTGAGGCTCTGTCTCAAAAAAAAAAAAAAAAAATGTAAAGAATAGGCAAATCAGTGGGAACAGAGAAAGGATATACATTTTTGAAATTCAGTGTAATTTTCCTGAAGTCATGCTTTTTCTTTAGTATATAGTTGGTTTCCTAAAAATTATTTTCTATGATTTTCTTTCTGTATTCAGGTATAAGTGTGCTAGCAGAGTGTTTGGACTGTCCTGAACTGAAAGCAACTGCAGACGATTTTATTCATCAGCATTTCACTGAAGTTTACAAAACTGATGAATTTCTACAACTTGATGTCAAGCGAGTGACACATCTTCTCAACCAGGACACTCTGACTGTGAGAGCAGAGGATCAGGTGACTAACTTACTGCCTCATATTTTTCTTAGTAAAAATGTCCTTATTGATTTCTTATACCTTGCGTTTGGATACATGATAAGGGATAGAGTCATATTTGGAGAGAATGTGTTCTTTACAAAACACAGTATTCCCAAGTCTGTTTCATAGGAAAAGTTGAGTCCTGGGTTCTTAGAGGGCTGGCTCTTTGAGGCAGAGACCACTTGATAGAGGCAAAAAATTTCAGATGCCATGGTAAGCAGAACAATGTTTACCCCCAAGATGCCCACATCCTAATCCCCCAAACCTGTGAATATGTTACCTTTACATGGCAAACAGGACTCTGCAAATGTGCTTAAGGATCTGGAGATGGGATTATGAGGCAAGTCCGGTTTACGTAACCCTAAGGGTCCTTAAATGAGGAAGAAAGCTGCAAAAGGAGGCAAGGTCAGAGTGATCCAATGTTAGACCTGACTGGCCATTGCTGGCTTTGAAAGTAGAAGGAGACCACAAACCAAGGAATGCAAATAGCTGTTAGATGCTGGAAAAGGCAAGGACATGGTTTCTGCTATGGCACCTCCAAGTAGACATCTTGATTTTAGCTCATTGTGACCAGTTTTGGACGCTGACCTCCAGAACCATCAAATAAACTGTCAGAGGTGTGGGCTGGGTGGCAAGCATTTGGGAGCTGGGTCGGGGAATACTTTGATATGCAGACTCAATCTCTATTCTCAGCACCATATCCTCCTCTGTATTTTGAAGCCACTCAGTTCGTGGTAATTTGTTATAGCAATATGAGGAAACTAATTAGGCATTATACGATCATGTACTTTGAGTTACTTCTGTTATAAAGATAGAAAATTTGAACTAAGCCACATTCTTTTTCCTTGCCTTCTTTGTGGCCTAAAGGACTATCAGTTTGCAAATTGGCAGGTTGGAACTGGAGAACCTAATGAGACCCCCCCCAAAAAAAAATCAATTCTGTCATCAAAATTAACTCATATGCTGTATGGAAAAGGAAGTAGTAATTAACTTTAGCCTGGAAGAACCTGACAAACACCTACCTACAGGTGGTAATGGTTAACATTCTCAGTGATGAGTCGTGTGCTGTCATGCACACTTGATACAGTGAGACTGGGACATCCCATGTATGATTGTCCTCTCGAGAAACCGTAACCCCAGTCTAATGAGTAAGATATCAAACAAATCCAAATTGAGGGACATTTGACAAAATATCTGACCAGGTATCCTTTATGGGATCTTAGAAAAATAGCATGAGATAAAAACTAAAGAGCTCCCCCCACTGGCCCCCAATAAAGAGTATAGACTTTAGTTAATTTATCAGTATTGCATCATTAGTTGTGACAAATGTATCATACTAAAGTAACCCCTTAACAGGATGCCAGGTACGTGAGAACTCTGCACTGTGTTTGCAACTTTTCCGTAAGTCTTCAACTATTCTAAAATTAACAGTCTATTTTAAAACACCCATTCCCACAAAAGATTAACTTGTAGGGAGACGAGAATTTGGGCCTTATTAACACCACCCCAAAATTAGCTCATTTAGCTCAAACATGTGTCAGTGTGGTAGATATGTGTGTATTTGAAATAATAGGTGTGTTTTCAGTGTTTTTAAACTTAATTATTTGTAAATTAAATGTTAATGAACTTGGACTTGTTCAGCATAGTTAAGTGAATGCTACAGTGTTATATTTTGGATAACAGTTCTTACAGAAAGTTAATCCTGTAATTAACTTTCAAAGTATGGAATTTTTCTTCTTAAAGTTTCTAGAAAACAGTTAAGTCTGTCATTCATAATGCAGGAATAAAAGATTGAAATAAAATCACAGGTGACCTTCGTATCTCCTGGAATGGAAAGCCTTTTTAGCAATTAACCTCTGCTCCTACATATGTTCATATATGTGTAGGAAACTTGTGTCGACCAGTAGATTCTTTTTGGTACAATGTATGTCTTTTTCTAAAAAGGAAACTGTTATTTTGTTTTAAAAAGTTATAAATTCAGCATTCTCCCTGTCATTTCAATTACAGTATATAGTAGTAGTTCTAAAAAAAAAACATTACCTACAAAACTCACTAGAACAGTCTGTAAACCAGGGGTCCTCAAACTTTTTAAACAGGGGGCCAGTTCACTACCCCTCAGATCGTTGGAGGGCCAGACTGCGGCCCCCAGGACGAGTTGGCTGCTAAGCAGGACAGGCAGCAGCGGAAAAAACAGCCGGTGGGCCGGATAAATGTCCTAGGCGGGCCGTAGTTTGAGGATGCCTCAGCAGTTTGTAAACTGTTCTGAAGTACAGGCAAATGTTCAAGGACGAAAGCAAATATCTGAATAAAACATTTGGAATAAGTGGTTGTTTCCTTACAAGATTCTCTCCCTTCAGTGTGAGAGTAAACATAGGTAATTGGAAATGTTTCCGCCATCTAAGAATTTTACTATGCTGTTTTTCCCCCTTAGGTTTATGATGCTGCAGTCAGGTGGCTGAAATACGATGAACCTAATCGCCAGCCATTTATGGTTGATATCCTTGCTAAAGTCAGGTTTCCTCTTATATCAAAGAATTTCTTAAGTAAAACGGTACAAGCTGAACCACTTATTCAAGACAATCCTGAATGCCTTAAGATGGTGATAAGTAAGTTGCCTTAAAATCCATTTATAACCTGATCATGTAGGCAGTTTGTTATGGGCTTAAAATCCTATTTAGCATGAATCAGATTTAGTAAGTCAGAAACATTCAAGAATCTGCTCGTATAGATAATTAATCTCTTGAGTTCCCCAACTGTATACCTAGAGAGGACTTGGCCTCAGCCCTTATTTTAAAAGTATACATTAGTATGTGAGGGGAGGTAAAAATTACTTATGCTTTTTCTATTTCCGTGTAAAATAGCTTTCATGGGCAGCACCTGTGGCTCAAAGGAGTAGGGCGCCAGCCCCATATACCGGAGGTGGCAGGTTCAAACCTGGCCCTAGCAAAAAACTGCAAAATAAATAAACAAATAAATAAAAATAGCTTTCATGTATTTCTTTTCCAGTGTTTCCTTTTTTATTTTACTTAGCCAACTAGTGTAATATGACCACACTTTCTTTTTTAAATAGCTTTCTTTCTTTTTTTTCTTTTCTTTTGCAAAAAACTGGAGCTAAAAATTGCTACTTCTTTTTCATTTGTTTAGATTTAGCGAAGTTATATTCCTGCAGACTCTTCACAGGCTCTTGAATTCCCATTGACCTTAATCAAACCAAACACCATATCTATACATATGGGTATGTATAGATGGGGAGGGTTGCATTATAGATTTCCATTTATATATGATGAGCCAGAAGGCCTCTTATAAAAGGTAACTAGAACCTACTTGAAACTTAAGTTATTTTTGGTACCTCATCTGGATGTTACATTTAAGGCATAAAGTTAAGGAAACAGATAAAAGAGAAATGAGCACTTTCACTCCTATGCTTTCCTTCTCAAGAGTGGTAATAAGTTGAGAGTCCTAATTATTAGATCTCTTATTCCTTGATTTTAAAATGTAAAATTTCCTTTAGACTTATCACATAGCTACCAGGTAGTAGTATGTGGTTTTAGGGAAGTCGACCCAATGTTATCCCCACTTTGGAAAAATATTATGCTATAGCCATCCAATAAAATGCTCTATACTTACTAAAAATATTTTTTCATGAATATTTATTATGGAAATTTTTTGTAAGTGGCAAAAGCATTACACAGTGTATAGTAGATTAAAAAAAAAAAGACAAGGAGTAAAAGAAGATGTGAGGCAAGGACATGTCCTTATGAATGGTAACATTCAATGGGTGGAAGAAGAAAATTAGGAAAGGCAAATTCCTGTACTTGCAGCTACTTGAGAGCTACTTGAAGCAAAGGCTGGTGTCTTGAAAACCAAGAGAAAGGTGTTAAGGAGGTAAAATAGGACAGCACCCCATAGCTTAGTTGGCAGGGCACCAGCCACATACACCTAGGGTGGCAGGTTCGAACCCAGCCCAGGCCTGCTAAGCAACAATGACAACTGCAAACAAAAAATAGCCAGGCATTGTGGTGGGCGCCTATAGTCCCAGCTCCTTGGGAAGCTGAGGCAAGAGAATCGCTTAAGCCCAAGAGTTGAGGTTGCTGTGAGTTGTGATGCCATGGCACTCTGCCAGGGCGACAGCTTGAGACTCCATCTCAAAAATAAAAAAAGGAGGAGAAGGAGGTAGAGTACCAGTGGCCTTTAGTCTAAGTGCGGAGATGAGAGAAAATCAGGACCAAAAAAATGCTTATTGATCAGAGCTTTCATCTTTTAGATGTCATACATGTTAATATCAGAGTTTTTGTTACGCTTTCATTCCCAAACTATGTTATTTTTCTGGCCTTACAGTTTCGTTGGGTAGAGAGCTAGTCCGATTTCTTCATACATGGTGTAGTTGATGAGACTAACCAGTTTGGGGCAGTCTAATATTTAGTTCTTTTGTGGATTCTAAATTGATTTAGAAATAGGATAGCAAGATTATTCCAGAAATTCAAGTGTGGGGATTAGCTGCCTCAGCAGGAAACTTTGCTGTTTATTTTTAACTTACTAGATTTATCACATGTTTTTCTTTTTTCTCTCTTTAAAATGAAGATTAGTGGATCGTTCTATAACTCCTTGACTAAGCACAAGCAGCCGAAAGGCTCCCAAGCTTTGGAGTCTAGGCAAAAACTAATTGGGGAAAGGAGTCCTCCAGCCCCCTTCCTTAGATCACCATTTGTCTTTCCTATTGTCTGATTTCATTGGCTTTTCAGAGTAGAAGAAAAGCAGAAAAGATAATCAAAAAATAGAGTAAAACTAAGCTAAAAAAATTTACATCTAAAAGAAGATATGTCACAAAAAAAGAAATACACAGGCAAAGCCACCACAAAGGCCAGGGCAACTTCTAACTCAAAATTGGTAAAATTTTACTCTGGAAGGAATAACTCTCAAAGTAGTAAGCCTGAGAAACAAGCAGCTCCTCAGGGAAAGGTGCCAAAGTATATACAGCCCCATTCTTGGGGAGGAAAAAAAGCCTGTCAGTGAAGGCATCACAGCTCATGTTTCCTCCTGGGAAGTCATCACAGTTGGACACAGTCAGCCCAGTGGCCTCTTAGCTAGAAACAGTTCCCTCCTGTCTCTTTACTGTCTTTGCCTTGTGGGAATATTGTGTTGATAGACTGCACAGTCTACTTTAGGCCTGTGCAGAGCCCTCCTAGGGGAGTGGCTGTCAAACCCAGAATTTCTGATTCAGACGATCAGGGCTAGTGTTCAATAATTTTTATTTCCAAGTGATGCTGATGCTGCTGATTATGGTTCACACTTTAGGAACCACCCATGGGCTAAATATGGCCTTGAGCTAAAAGCAGCTTTTACATTTGCCAGGGATTGTTAAAAAACCTAATATTCCATAGAATCATATGCTGCTGCAAAGCCTAAAGTATTTACTGTCTAACTCTTTACAGAAAGTGTTTGTGGGCCCCTCTGACCTAGAGCATGCGCCAGAGCCTGGGCCTCTGAGGTGTCCGTCTCTTCTAATGCAAAAATGCTTTTATTCAAATTCAGAAATGTAAGGAAATAATAAATATTGGTAATGACTTTCATCCAGAAACAAACTGTTCTCCAAAGATGTGTCTTCCCTGTCTTTCCCATTTTAAAGGGCTAAGACCAGCCTCATGTACGGAAATATTTTGTATATGTTAAAAGATTTTTTGCACTGGGTGGCGCCTGTAGCTCAGTGGGCAGGATGCTGGCCACATACACTGAGGCTGGCGGGTTCAAACCCAGCCCAGGCCACCTAAACAACAATGACAACCGCAACAAAAAAATAGATGGGCATTGTGGCAGGAACTGGGGAGGCTGAGGCAAGAGAATCGCTTAAGCCCAAGAGTTTAACACTGCTGTGAGATGTGACACCATGGCACTCTACCAAGGGCGACATAGACTTTCTCAAAAAAAAAAAAAAAAGATTTTTTGCATTATTTTATCTTTAGATCAATACTGTATATCACGCATAATTCAAAAAGGTATTATATGGGTACATAGTGAAAAGTCAGTCTCTCTGATATCCCTGTTCACCACCCCCTCATTCCCTCACCCAGGAGGTTACTGTTATTACCTTGTATGTCCTTCCAAAGGTAGTGTTGAGACTGTGCACACACAGTGACTTATATGTACATGTATAAATTATATGTATAAAATGCGTATGTAAGCATAAAATGTACATTTTTTGTTGTTGTTGCAGCCATTATTGTTGTTTGGCGGGTCCGGGCTGGATTCTAACCTGCCACCTTAGGTGTATGTGGCTGGCGTCTTAGCCGCTTGAGCCACAGGCGCCGAGCCAAAAAAATGTACATTTTTAATACAAAGAGTGTTACATTCTATGTACTGTTTTATGGTTTGCTTTTTTCCATTCCATATAATTTCATGGAGATCATTCCATGAACACATACTAAACTTTCTCATTCTTTGCAGCCATATATAATATTCCATTGTATATACACACCATAATTTTTAACCACTTCCCCAGCAGTGAACTTTATAAACTCTTAGAAAGGGAATTCCTGGGTTAGAGAGTGTGTACATGTGATTTTTGTGGATTGTACTGTATCACCCTCCAGATGATAGTAACCATCCATGCTGTCTCACCTGCATACTTAACACATCCTGTGCTCCAGATAGTTTGATCTTGGCCAACCTGAGATGTGAAAAAAGTATGGTTTTAATTTGTATTTTTCTATTGAGAGCAGTTGAGCATCTTTTCATGTGTTTAAGTTGTTTGTAGTTCTTTTTCTATGAACTATATTGAAATACTTCATCTAATTTTGTCTTAAGTATCTAGTTTTAATCTTATTAATAGAATTAATAGAATGTCTTCTTATAATTTTCTTTTGCACTGTTTATAAATACTTTCCTAGCTAGTCATTGTCTTTTTTTTTTTTTTTTTTTTCCCTTTTTTGGCGGGAGCCGGGTTTGAACCCACCACCTCTAATATATATGGCTGGCGCCCTACTCCTTTGAGCTATAGGTGCTGCCCTAGTCATTGTCTTTTGATTTTGTCTTTTTGCCATTCACTAAGTTAACTTAAACTTTTATATATTTACATCTGAACTTTTTTTTTTTTTTTTTTGAGACAGAGCCTCAAGCTGTCGTCCTGGGTAGAGTGCTGTGGCATCACAACTCACAGCAACCTCTAACTCAAGCAAGTCTCCTGCCTCCACCTCCCAAGTAGCTGGGACTACAGGCACCCGCCACAATGCCCAGCTATTTTTTGGTTGCAGCCGTCATTGTTGTTTGGCGGGCCGGGGCTGGATTCGAACCCGCCAGCTCAGGTGTATGTGGCTGACGCCTTAGCCACTTGAGCCATAGGCACCGAGCCATCTGAACATTTTTTCATTGCTTCTTTGTTTTTTGTCACTCCTAGGCTTCCCTATGTGAACCTGATTTTTTTTCTTTATTTTTTTTTTTGAGACAGAGTTTCACTATGTCACCCTGGGTAGAGTGCTGTGGTGGTCAACAGCTCATAGCTACCTCAAACTCCTGGGCTTAAGCCATTCTCTTGCCTCAGCCTCCCAAGTAGCTGGGACTACAGATGGCGACCACAACGCCCAGCTATTTTATTTTTTTGTTGTTACAGGTGTTTAGCTGGCCCCGGCCAGGTTCAAACCCTCTACCCTCTGTGTATTATGGCTATGTCCGTGCTACAGGTGCCGAGCCTGGACCTGATTTTTTAAAGCTATCCTATCTTTATTTTAGTGCATTTATGAGATTTTTTCATATTTAAATTTTTATTGATTTGGAATTTGGAGCAAAATATTAAGTGGGGGCAGAATTTTTTCTCCATTTTTATTGTCTACCAGTAGTAAACAATCTACCTTTCCCACTGATTTTGATTAAGTGGCCCTTAACAAAATTAAGGAATTGCTGATGTAAAATGGTCACAGTAATTCTGAATCCTTAATGCATTTTAGTCATCTAATACAGTGCTCATCAAAGTTGTATGTACATGCAAATTAACTTGAATACACAGATCCTAATGCAGTAGGTCTAGGGTATGGTCTGGGATTCAGAATTTCTAACAAACTTCCAGATGCTGAAGCTTCTGGTCATTGAACTATATTGAAAGAGGTAAGGATTTAAGATGCCCTTTAAAATACCATGCCTAGGCCCTACCACCAGAGGTTTTGATTTAATTGGTCTAATCAGGGGTGGGAAACCTACTGCCTTCTGATTGTTCTTTTTTTAAGCATCAAAGTAGGCAAGAAAGCTTCATCTTTCTCTGGTGCACCCCTTTTTATAGATTTGTTCTGTAAAATTTGGATTCAGTCCAAAAGCTACACTTAACCTGGAAAGCCACGAGTTGCCATAAGGCTGCAGATTCCCTACCCCTAGGTGATTCTAATGTGCAGTTAAGATTGAGAACTGCTGGGTTAGGAAATAATAATGTAATTATTATTTTCGCAGTTATTGCTTAAGGAGCCAGATAATTGACTGGCACAGAGTAAATGGGTGAGGCATTCTTATAAAAATGGTGATTGCTGAGAATAATCTATTGATGAGGACTCAGGGCCTTCTACGTTTTTCTTGCCTCTTCCCTCTCACTTTCCTTGAATGCTATAAAAGGATGATAGAAGAAAATTATAGAAATTAACGTACTGTTATGTCTGGGTATTTCCTTTTCAAAGCACTGCATTTGTGTCTGAAGTTCTTGAGGAGTTGCCGTGTATTTTTCTACAGGCGGGATGAGGTATCATCTACTGTCTCCCGAGGATCGAGAGGAACTTGTAGATGGCACAAGGCCTAGAAGAAAGAAGCATGACTACCGCATAGCCCTATTTGGAGGCTCCCAGCCACAGTCTTGTAGATACTTTAACCCAAAGGTAACCACTTTTTGTTCTTTTTATTCTTTTGTTTTTTAAATCACGGAGCACATAGACACTCACCTACTACCAATAGTAATGACTGATGCCTTTAGAGATGTTAGTTTATGGTGTTCTTTCACATACTTTGTGAGATTTATAAGTTATCTTCATTTTACAGATTAAGGTAATTGAGGCTTAGTCAGATTTCAAATGTTTCCATAATTGCTTGGCAGTGCCGCACAATAACCAAAAGAATAAATGAATTCTCCTATCTTACCTTTTTTTGTTAGCAACTTCTTGCATTTATACCAACAACTCGCTTTCATTAAGTACCATTTTTTTTTTTTTTTGAGACGGAGCCTCAAGCTATCCCCGCTGGGTAGAGTGCCATGGCATCACACTCATAGCAACCTCCAACTCCTGGGCTCAAGCGAGTCTCCTGCCTCAGCCTCCCAAGTAGCTGGGACTACAGGAGCCCGCCACAGCGCCCGGCTATTTTTTGGTTGCAGCCGTCATTGTTGTTTGGCGGGTCTGGGGTGGATTTGAACCTGCCACCTTAGGTGTATGTGGCTGGTGCCTTAGCCGCTTGAGCCACAGGCGCCGAGCCTTAAGTACCATTTTCAATGAAAATCTGCTTCTGGGCTCGGCGCCTGTGGCTCAAGTGGCTAAGGCACCAACCACATATACCTGAGCTGGTGGGTTTGAATACAGCCGGGCCCACCAAACAACAATGACGGCTGCAACAACAACAAAAATAGCCAGGTGTTGTGGTGGGCGTCACCTACTTGGGAAGCTGAGACAGGAGAATCGCTTGAGCCCAGGAATTGGAGGTTGCTGTAAGCTGTGACACCACAGCACTCTACCGAGGGTGACAGCTTGAGGCTCTGTGTCAAAAAAAAAAAAGAAAATCTGCTTCTGGGGGATATGGGTTTTTTCTTTAGTAGTTATGTTTTAATATAAAATAACATATAGGCATTCTAGAGAATTTGGAAAACCTAGAAAAATCACCCATAAAAAGATAAAATTATCTTTAATCCAACCATGTAGATATGATCACTAATTTCAGTGTGCTTTCCATTACATACTATGCTAACTACACCAGGATGGCTTGAGTCATAGGTCTAGGAATAAAATTTTTTTTAAGTAGATTATTAATTAAAACCTTTAGAGAATTGACTCATACTTCTGTTCCTTGTTTCTTAGACCTAGGTGTTTTGGTTAGGGAAGAAAAAAAAATCATATTTTTCTGGTACGACTTTGTATTTCTGGGGCAGAGAAAATGCCACAATTCTAAAAGATAAACCCCAATCTTGTAAGGTAGTATCCATAACCAAGGCTGAATCTCAGCATATAATGGTCTCTTTAATCATTTTATAAACACATTTTTGTTTAATGACAGATACTGGATGAAACCAGAGCAAAGCATGGTTGACATTAGTATGTAACTTCCTTATGAACTGGGTCCCTGAAGGCAGTCTATGTAATAATGTTGTAGTGATATAGAAGGCATTTGTAAACACATGTGGTGGTGTTGTCAAGAGTTCAGAAGACAGAAAAGGCCAATCCAACCAAATCCATGTTAAGTATCAGTCTCAATGGTAAAGCATTGCCCCTTCAACTATGCAAGGGTACCAGTGTATTTCTCTGTTATTAGGTGACTAACTGGCTCCCTCAAAGTATGGTAACAAATCAAGGGCTTAGCATTGCTCAGTATTGCTCGCCAACTGGGCAATGGCCAGTAGTGAGTAGCCACACTGGCTTTACGGAGGGGAAGTCATTAATTTCTATAACTGTTTATGCATCCTCAATGCCACTGTGGTTGCTCATAAGCCCATGGGACAAGCATTGTGTTGACTGTGGAGAGAAGATACAAAGACAGTCTTTTCCGTAAGAGACTTTTTTGCATTTAGGGGTACTCTGATAAGAATTCATGTGGAACACACATTTCTGGAGGCCCACCTACACATTGTCTTTTCTTAAATTGCCTTGTCAGAAGTTTTCCGTTCTTGCTTATTTCAAGTCTGTATCCATCTAGGGTAAACCATTAGCCAGCTGTCCAGGAATTAATAAAACTGACCTTAAGCTTTCCCTCATAAAAGGCATAATGACCAATAAAATGAAGGGCTTAATATTGTGTCAAATCATATTACCTTCTTTCTGCATTGTCCATCAGTACAATTCCTATAGGGGCTGTGATGCTTTCATATATGGTTCCTTATTGGCTAGTGCTATCAAAGGCAAACCAAGCTCTGGTCTCTTGTTTTGTTAGCCAGATATAGAGAGCACCTCCCTGAGGCCATAGTCCTGGTTGAGGGAGGAGACAGTGAAGGGCCATGAGGTAAGGGTTGTGATTGCCTTATTTGTTTATTTTGTGCCATTGGAACCTCCATAAGCCCAGTGTTGTATTTACAGACCACATTATTGGTTGAAGGCATGCTTTCTTTGTGGTTAAGAAGGTCTAGTAGAACTACTCAAGATGAGTTAATGATATGGTCACCTGGTTTCCCTTGGTGTTGGACGTTTGCTGTCTGTCAAAACCTCGTGACCAGCCAGGAATTGTCTTTTGGAAGAGTAGTACCTGCTTAAGGGAGATTGGCCTTGTTCCAGAATCCCAGGCCCTTGCTCTGTGGTTATATTGGGACATACCTCAAGCATCCTGAAGCCTCAGGATCACAGGGTACCCTGAACCACTGAGCCATATAACTGTAGCCTGTCACACTTAGAAAGATTTCTCTAACTCTAGATTTTAGTTATAATGAACAGCTTTTTTGGTTTATCTCATAGAAGTGTGAATAAAAAAGGATACCCACACACAGGATATGTGCCATCTCCGATATGTAGGAGGTGCTTGGAGCAGCAAGCTGTCTTTAATTTCTAAGGGGTTATACCAACATGCTATAGATCAGGGCTTCACAAAAAGGGCCAGAAGTATTTAGAGCTTTGCAGGCCATCCATTCTCTGCTGCAGCTGAACTCTGGCACTGCAGCAGGAAAGCAGCAATAAATAATACATAAACAAGTGGTCTTGGCTGTGCTCCAAAAAACTTTATTTACAAAACCAGATGATGGGCTCGATTTGGTCTTCAGGCCATAGTTTGCCAACCTCTGCCCTAGGAGTGATGGACATCTGAGGACTTTGACGTGATCAGCACTGTATTCTAAGCAAATTGTCTCTTGTCCTGTCCAGCACAAGTTTCACACTAGATAAGAGTATAGGATCCTTTCCATTTCCTGGTCTTTAGAACTGATCTGGGCATCAACACAGGAGAGACCAGTGTGTAACTTTGAGAAGGTGAGGTGGTCCATGGTGCCTACAGTGTATATAATGGCATAGAGCTAGAGTCAAGATCAGCGGTTCTCAACCTGTGGGTCGAGACCCCTCTGTAACAATGTAAATACATTGTGGCATTAGGAAGGTTGAGAACCACGTGTCAAGATCCTTGAGATCAGATAATGACATTATTTTATTTTCCCTATCAGCTGAAAAGAAATTCCATCTGAAGGTCTGGGTAGGTAGTAACAGAGAGATATACCATAGCCACACTGTTAGCTGTAGGCCACTTTTAATGCTTGTATTAATCTGGTCCATTAAGAGGGTCATATCTGGCCCTTGTACAGCAACCAGAGTTACCCGCCTCAGCAGTTCCTTTTCTGCTTTGGTTGAAAAGGAGACCTCGGGCAGCACGTGTGGCTCAGTGAGTAGGGCACCAACCCCATATACTGAGGGTGGCGGGTTCAAACCCGGCCTTGGCCAAACTGCAACAAAAAATAGCTGGGCGTTGTGGCGGGTGCCTGTAGTCCCAGCTACTCGGGAGGCTGAGGCAAGAGAATCGCCTAAGCCCAGGAGTTGGAGGTTGCTGTGAGTTGTGACGCCATGGCACTGTACCAAGGGCGATAAAGTGAGACTCTGTCTCTATTAAAAAAAAAAGAAAGAAAAGGAGACCTCCTACATCTCTTTTTTACCATAATACTTGACACCATAATCCATAGAGCACATGATATACTGCCAGATATATTTAAAAAAAAAAAAAAAAACCCTCTTCAAGGAGGGAGGATCAGGTTAGATTGGTTAATCATCATCGTATTTGGACTGTTCCTATTGGGCTGTTCTTGGCTCATAACATCTATCTCTGATCCATTCCTCCACTTCCAGGATATAGGCTGCTTTCCTACTAAAGATATCTAGCTTCCTTCTCAGTAGAAGATGGATTACTGATAGATAACATGAGAATCCAATAAGCACAATGTCCTCACTGTGCTTAAGAGATTACATCTACATATATCTGTTTCACACCAGATAAGGGTAAGCCATTGACATTTCAGCGACTGTTTTTAGTTTTTTCATGATCCTTTTGAGTTAAGAATAAGAAAATGAAAAACTGGCCGGGCGCAGTGGCTCATGCCTATAATCCTAGCACTCTGGATGCCAAATCAGAAGGATTGTTTGATCTGAGGAGTTCAAGATGAGCCTGAGGAAAGCGAGACTCCTTGTTCCCTAAAAACAAAAAAAAAATGCTGGCATGGTGCATACCTGTAGTCCCAGCTACTTGGGAGGCTGGGGTACAAAGATCACTTGAGCTCAGGCATTTAAGGTTGCTGTGAGCTATGATGATGCCACTGTATTCTAGCCTGGGCAACAGAGACCCTGTCTTTAAAAAAAAAAAAAAAAAAAGAATGAAAAAGAAAACGATAAACTTCAAAACAAGCAAAAACTGAAATCATAGTAATTTACATTGTAATTCTACAAACTGCAGCCTTCAGATGTTAACAATAATTACACCCAGTTTGTTCCCCTTCAAAGCCTAACTGTTGTGTTGATTTGGGCAGTTATAAAGCAATTAAGCCAAGTTTTGGTGGAAAATATTTAAAAATAAAGTAGATGGCTGTTTTCACGTACAGGTGGGCAAAGAATTCTGATTTCATTTAGGAGACCAGGAGCATTGTTTCCAGAATAAGGCAAATGTGGCATGACTTATGACACTTTGTTTGTTTTTAGTCTGTAGTTCTCTAACACTTTCC